TTTGATATGTTGAAAATTACAATGGAAACTAATAATTTATCTTAATCACTTGGGCAGGGGTTGGATTCAGGTCGGTGGGGATGATCACAACCGCAAGGTCAACGGCATCCTTGGCCTTTTGTGCAGGCTAAACTTCCCTGGCTTAGTGCAGTTCCGCGAAGAGCTGCAGCCGGCCTACACGTGGGACCACTACGTCGCCGCCCTCGACGCCGCTGATCGTGATGGTAGGGTATTCCCCAACAAGGCGGAGCGGGTGAAGGGCAAGCTATGGGTAAGTATTTCTCGCACTACATTGCTCAATACATCACATTCACTGGACATTCTTGAAGTAATGACTGTATACATCACGTCTATATGCAGGACTTCTATAGATGCCAGGAGGGGTACGAGGCCAAGGCGGCCTCCATCACTGAAGAAGCCGCCAAGAAGCTCGTGAAGGACATCACTACGAGGCGCGCGTCCAGGCCATCATCGACTACTATGCTCAACACAGACGAATGAAGGTTAAAAAAGAAGAGGCAAGAACAATGAACCTGACCCGGGAACAATTCTTGCAAGTACATATAGAACATTAATACTTACTTTTTATAAGATTAATTACGCTTAATTTTATTTTTTTATATGTCATACACTTGATCATGTAGGTGCCTCCGTACTGGTGCGCCCAGCATTCCTAGTGCTGGGAATACATGGTGGACAAGTGGTTGGAGCCCGAGTGGGTGGAGACGCACACCGCTTGCCGGGACCGGCGTTTGCTGATGCCACGGGCATCACACCATCAAGGCAGCCTGAGCCTCGACGAATACAGGGAAAAATGGGTACGCGAATTCATTTCTTTATTCTAACACTCAATTATGTATAATTTCTAATCATTTTGCATTTTTGCCGTAGTCGTCGTCACATGATGGCCAGCCTTGCTCCCAGTTCAAGGCATGGGTTCTGTCCAAAAAGGGCAAGGTGACGGCAAACATCGACTTCAACCCGGAGGACCCGCCCGAGGCGTACAACGATCCCAGCATCCACAGTCGCGTCAGTGAGTACACAGCGATGGCAGGGCAGGTTCATAGGCCACAGTTCGATCCGAGCATCCAGGATCTTGATGGAGAAATCGTGACGAGGGTGGAAGGAGGCAAGAAGCATGGCCGGTACTGGATTGGCGACAATACAATCGACACGGCCTCTACTCCCACTCTCTCCTAGATCCGAGCAAGGAGCACGAGCGCGAGCCCGGCGATACGCCCTCGGCCAACCGCTACACAGTACCAGATGGAGGCTCTCCAGGTTATTTCTTATTTATTCATCGTTCGTTAATTGTTACGTACTTTAGCTTTGTATTGTAACATTGGGATGAAATGTTATAGGCCCGGGTAGAAGCAGAAATGAAGCAACGGGAGGAGATGGAGGCGAGGATGGCGGAGATGGAGGCGAAGATGGCGGCCGAGCGGCAGAACATGGAGGAAGAACAACGGCGGACGATGCAGAGGATAGAGGAACAAAATCGGTTGAGGATGGACCAAATGTTCCAATACATGCAGAATTTTGCATCGAGTATGGGTCAAGCTTTGCCACCGTCACTGGTGCTATTCCCTCCACCTCAGCCACCCACAACTACTCCTGTGAGTCACTTGACACCTTATGTTAGATCTATTTATTATTATTTTTTATGCCAAGATATTAGATGGATGGTTACCTTGCAAGTTGATGATTTTTACTACATACATACATACTCATGCATACTGTAGTATAGAATACACTATATATATATACTCTCAGTTAACTTGCTTTTTGATAATACTGATAATACTCTCAGTTAACAGCTTTTTGATAGCTCCCAACTCTCAGTTAACTTGCTTTTTATGTACCATCAAGGTGGTTGTCAGTTTTTATACATGTTTTTTATGTACCAAAACAAGACTATCAAACCTGAAAGAACTTTATTTATACATGTTTAAACTGACATTGCCTTTAGCTAAGAATTTTCATAATAACTAGCACCGGGTTCAGTTAAGAACTCATATATGGCATAATGTAGAAAAATAATGAAGGCACCCTAGCTTGGTTGAGAAAATACTCCTATGAATACTAGAAAAAAAAACTCCCCTTTCAGACTACTACCACAACTACTTAGCAGGGTGCATAGACAAGTGACATCCCTAGATTCTTAACTGGTCAGGTACAAAGGAGGTGTTAGTACATGGTTTATAACAACCAGCTTAACAAAACAACTCGATACCATGCTGTATTACCAGTAGAAACTCAGCTGGACGAACGGGAGCTGCTCGCTTGGCTGTTCACTGGGTGATAGTTCAAACTACTAAATTACCACCCAGAATGCCAGTTTAAACATAACATTTTAAAGGTATCGTTCTTGAACATAGTGCCAAATCAAAATAGCATGCATATGTTAACATACTCTTTTTCAGCAAGTTTCACTTCAGTTCCACCATACTCAGGAAGTAGAACAGTGTCGCCTTCACTCAGAGATACAGGGATCAGCTTACCATCCCTATCACGATCACCAGGGCCAACAGCAATGACTTTAGCAGCGTTCAGCTGCATTTAAAAATAAAGTGATATGTTAGGCCTAAAAGAGACATGAAAACTAAAAACCCATGATAAAAAAGTCCACAAACAACTAAAGCTAAAAAGGAAACGCCATGATTCAATATATTTGAACTCATTCAACCTACATACTGAGCATACATAGATATTGCAGCGAACATCACAAGCAGTTCACCCTGCCAGTATTAATCTAGAGGCTGCTGTAGCTACAGCTACATAAAAAACTGCAGTAACAAAAGTACACTCTCATAGTTATCAAGGCGAGGCGTGATAACTGACTACCACCTTGAGCTTAAGTGGCTATGCTGATAATACCTTGAGCTTAAGTGACAACTGACTACCATGTACAATGTTAGGAGCAGATTTTCATTAAAAAAAACTGTTATGAGCTAAGTATTTTATATCTGCAGCTTACACATGCAATATCTTCTCTTTTGTGCAGAATCAATCGGCGGCATCAAATAATCAGTCTCAAGATCCGAATTTGTCGCAGTGGTACCAAGGGCCTCCGCAGTGATTGCATTTGCCTTTGTGGCTTATTGTGACTTAGTTGTGACTTGTGATGATGGTTTAATGTGAATTGTGATGATGGTTTATAAATTGTGATGATGGTTTATTATGCCTGTGAAATACAATTATGTCTGTGACATATAATTATGCTTGTGACCTTTATTGTGAATTGTGATGGTTTATTGTGAATTGAGAGGGGTCCGTTATACGAGACATATTAGTAAAAGGGGGGGGGGTATTAGTCGCTTTGCCAAGTGTAACACTCGGCAAAGAGACGTTTTACCGAGTGTCGATCCAAAACACTCGGCGAAGAGATCAATTTCTGTTATTCTGGGAACCTTTTTTGCCGAGTGTTTTGTCTTTGCCGAGTGTATCCAAATGGACACTCGGCAAAGCGACCATAAAAATCTGCCCGTTGCGCGCTTGTTTGCCGAGTGTATTGGGCGCGACACTCGGCAAAGTGTGCAATCTTTGCCGAGTGCTTTAGTCTTGGTACTCGGCAAACTTTATAACATTTACCGAGTGTTTTGCTCTTGACACTCGGCAAACTTTAGAAACTTTGCCGAGTGTTTTGGAGCTGACACTCGGTAAAGTTTAGAAACTTTGCCGAGTGTTTTGCGCTTGACACTCGGCAAACTTGAGAAACTTTACCGAGTGTTTTTCCTTCATGCACTCGGCAAAATCATCGTCACCGTGCCATCCCGTTATCATTTTTTTTGCCGAGAGTTTCTCTTTGCCGAGTGTTTATTGACACACGGCAAACTATTTGCCGAGTGCGCAATAAAAAACACTCGACAAACTACTGTTTGCCGATAAAATAATGCCGTGTGTTGTATGCCGAGTGTTACACTCGGCAAAGCATTTGCCGAGTGTCTTTGGGCCTTTGCCACTCGGCAAAGCTATTGTATCCCGTAGTGGTACTAATATAAGCTACAGTGAAATGTCAGTTCCATTGATATGTGGTTTATTGAGGGAATATTTTCCATGCTAGATAAATTGTTAAAATAAATATTTACTTGTCCAATATAGATTATATTAGTATTTATACGAGATTTAAGGAATATTTTAGTTCATTTTTAGTTTAAATATAAATTGAAGGTTTTATTTTATATTATCTTCGTAATGATATATGTTGGTAATTTAGATGCAATTTAGAAGTTATTTTACATTATCTTTTATAATGGCAGAAGTGAGTAATTTATATTCAAATTTAGGGTGTTATTTAAATTATCTATGTCTATACCTCATATTAAGGAGCGAGTGGTTCTTTAGTCCGTATCTTTTACTTTCCACAATACCCTTGCATCTATGCTTGTCTAGGACTCGACTCACAGCTTGTGCTTATACGAGTCAGAACCATGTGCGTTTGTGTGTCAAGTGATGATACAAAGTATGATTTCAGTACATATTAGAATACAAATAGATGATGCGGCCGTTGCATAAATCTCCATGCCACAAGTTGTTTAGCTGACCGTGCAACAAGGTGTGTGTTATGTTATAATTCATGAGCACGTTCATAATGTCAAAGGTGGGTAATTTAGATATAAATTTAGAAGTTATTTTAATTATCTTTCATCATAAAAGATATGTGTAATTTAGATACAAATTTAGAGGATTTACTTTACGTATTTTCATAACGAGAGATGTGGATATCTTTTTTATAAAGTAGAATAGATTCAATGACTATTATTTTTAGCGATAATGATTAGAGTCTACCAAATGAAAAACTAGATATTTATAATTATTATGATACTTTTCTAGGATTTATCTATTTTTATAGTGTGTAAGTGAGATTAACATAATAATAATAAGATAACATTCTCTTAAGTTGGTAACGATTTTCCACCCAATAAATTATCTAATTTATTAGTGAGTTTTATACATTTTCATAACGCTTTTAGGAAAGAGAAGCATCGAAGCAGGCTTACCTGTTCAACGTAGGGAAACTTTGTCTGAAGCTCGTCGGAGCTGGGCACCACGTCCTTGGGCCCAAAAGCGTCGATCTCCCGAAGCAGCTTCTCCTCCACCTCCGGATGCATCGCCACGAGGTAGACCAGGCTGGACAGCGTGAACGACATGGTGACAGACCCGGCGAGCAGGTGCTCGTACGTGAGTGCGCTCACGTAGTCCGGCGTTAGTAGCTTCCTCATGGCCTCCGTGCTCTCGCTGGCGTTGAGCAACACGGACAGGAAGTTCTTCTGGCCCCTGTCCGCCTGCGCCGCCCGCTCGGCCACGATCTCATCAAGAAGGCCGCTCATGGCCGAGTTGGTCTCCTCCAACCGCCGGTCGGCCGAGCCTGGCACGCGCAGCATGAGCTGCCGCACGGGCTCCTGGAGGAACGGCACGAACTGGCCGAGCACGATGGACAGCGAGCCCGACAGGTCCATCTTGAGGGACGTCGTGGCGTGGAAGTGCTTTCCGATGAAGTCGGTGGCCGGGTCGACGCTCATGTTGCTGCGGCGGCGAGGTGGCCGTGTCGTCCTTGGTGAGGCCGAAGTCGACACCGAAGGCGACCTGGCCGATGGTGTCACTGAAGAGCTTTAAGGAGAGGTCCGAGAAGGTAATCTCCTCGCCGGGATGGAGGAGACGCCCGGCCCGCTCGACGTATGGTTGGATGGCCGGGATGAGGCTTGCCACGTGCGACGGCTGGTAGATGGAGAGGATGACGTTCCGCATGGATTGCCATCTCGCGTCCCTGCGCGCGCGAAGCATGCATGCAAATGGTTAGACAAGTTCACCAGCTCAAACTTGTTTATCTGGAGACCAATTTGCTTAAGACCAATTTCATTCTATGGATACCGATGTAACATTTTCTTTTGCTTCAAAACTCTACTCCTGCAACTTAACTGAAAGAAAGACCTGCTGGTGCTATTTTCTTTTAAAAGCTAATGACTATCATGATATTAATCCCTGTAGCAATGGTTTGATCTTTGATAATAATCCCTGTAGCACCAATAGTTGGTTCTCTATTTTCAGAGCAGAGATTGGCTTGATTTGCATCAAAGCCAAGCTCAGCCTTGCAGGCTCCCTAAATTCGTGGTTAGAGAATATCCCCTAATGTTTTTACTTTCTTTCTTTTTTTTGAGCTTTGCAAGCTCTTTGAATGCACCCCTCGTGCAATTGTAACTTTGTACCCCTTTTTACCACATCAATAAAGAAAAACATAGGTGGAGGATTTCCCCCACCGAGCCTTAAAAAAAAAACTATCATGATATTAAACAATTAAGCTCGTAAGAGTGTTCCATTAGCTTTACCTGGTGAAGAAGAGGCCCTTGTTGTGAATAGGTGAGCCACGAATTGGAGTCGGTATGCTTCTGTTGGGGATGCTCTTGAACTTCTTGATACCCACCTCCTTGCAAAGCTCCGCGTCTGCCACCATAACCAGTGGCTGCCTACCCATGTGGAACCTAAAAAGGAAAACACAGCCACCACTTGTTCAACCAAAATGGACACATATACCCGGATTCAGGACTGCCGCTACTACGGCGCAGGGCGGCTAGCTCACCTGTAGATTGGCCCGTATTCCTTTGACAACATGCGGAACAGGCCCGGCCCGTGCTTGACGAACAACGGCAGGTGTCCGACGAGCGGGAGCGCGACCGGCCCGGGGACCCTGCGCACGCGCCATGATGGGATGTAGAAGTAGACCGCAAAGGCGCCGGCGGCCAAGGCCGCGGCGGTGAAAAGAACTGCCGGCAACGACGCCGCCGGCAAGGACAGCGCCTCTATCAGCAGCTGGCTCGAGATGATTTCTCCCCACCCCATCGGTGTTTCCCCTGGGTCGATCGGTTCGTGTTATTTGGCTGTTGTGCTGGTGGCCGCTGGTCTGGTCGCACGACTTAATAAATACGTACGGGCGAAGCTGAGATGCCCGGTGGCTCGCCGTGGGCATCCTCGCCGTCGCCTGGTTCGTCGTGTAGTTGCCTGGCATTGTCCGTTCGCCCTCGTCAGATTGGACTCGTGTGCCAATAGAAATGGACTCTTGTAGCGTTGGTTGTAACGGCGCGTGGGGCAGGTAGTGTGCTTAGTGTTGTATTTTACCGAATATACTAAGGACCATTTAAAGAAAAGTTATTACTGGGTGTTAAGTGACATTACAGCAGTGCTCGCCGCCGACCAGTTTGCCCGCTGGAATCTAGAGCAAACTAAACTAGCATCCAGCATTCCAAGCCGTTCCTCTGGCACGACTCGTGAGTTCGACGAGATGCGGACGCTGGCAGTTCAAAGATGCTTCCTGCTGGGTATCTTGTCGTTCATGCGACCATGTCCCAATGATATTAGCTAGTTGCTACCCCTATAAATTATACGAAATGCGGACGTTGGCAGTTCAAAGATGCGGGCTGTACTTCATGGATGCCAAATAGCCCACACTTTCGGTTCAGCACATTACTCTCGGGTAGCTTTGGATCCAGGACTAATGTAAGTATTAGTCCAAAGTTCAAGTTTCTTAGGCTGCAGAAGATCTTTAGTCCCGGTTGGTAAGATCAACCCGGACTAAAGGGTCCACATTAGCCCTGGTTGGTATTACCAACCTGGATTAAAGAGTCTTCACCTTTAGTCCCGGTCGGTAACACCAACCCGGATTAAAGGTAGATTCTTTAGTCTCGGTTGGTGTTACCTACTCAGACTAAAGAACCCCTTTAATCCCGGTTGATGTTACGAACCGGACTAAAGGTCCTTTGATGGGCTAGTTCAAAAGAAAAGCATCCCATCCAAGGTCACATGTGCTGTGTGGATGGGGTGGAAAGGTACGCGCGAGGCAATGCACAGGGTCTTGGGTTCGAATCCCATGAGGCACAGGGGTGTGAGGCATTAGCCCCGGAAGACCTTTAGTCTCGGTTCAAGTCAACCGGGACTAAAGGGTTCCTACGGTTGGGAAACTGGGACTAAAGGCATTTTTCAACCGGGGTTAAAGCCACGCTGTGTACCAGTGAGTAGATAAGTTTTAATGTTATAAGGAATTGTCAGGTTTTAATAGTTAAGTTTACAGATCTTCTAATTTTAAGAGTTCACCGGTAAACGTGCAGTTGCACAGAACCCAATACGTCTTCGAATCGAACTCCATATCATTGCTTGGAGCGAGTTGTTTTAAGTCGTATGACCATGGGTCATGAATCTAGAGCACATATATATGGAGGCCACAAGGGCAGTTCAAGAAGTAATAAAAGAAAAACCAAACAGGACGAAAGAAATCATTTCCCTTTTCATATTAGGTATATAGATATAGATATACAAATGATTTAGGCATCGTGTGAACCAATCATTCTACAACTCAATATTTCTATGTTGCCATATGATTTTGGGTGCATATACACTAGAAGACAAATTCCAAGAAATTGCCTTTATAGTGTATATGCTCCTAAAATTTGTTCTTTTCGTATGAATTTTTTAGATGGAGGTAGAATCTCAAATTTGATGGCAATGTACATCTATAGATGCTGAATGTGTATCATTTCATTTGTTTTTGAAAATTCCTAAATATGTTTTAAGGGGGTTTTCATGGTCCCACCGGAAGAGGTGTTTGCACCAAATATTCTCCAAATAACTGAGTATGCTAAAGCAAAACAATAAGATAGGCCTACATTTCACTTGTTCTATCATTTTTCATCCTAATTCATATGATACTGGCTATTTGTTCTCCGGCTTATAGCAGAGGATATGTTCTAATTCATCTCTGAGTAACAGCAAAAATAGTATCTACTAGCACAAACATCTTCGAGGGTAAATAGTTCAGCCCAATGATAAGAAAAGGGACAAACTGTTTAACTAATATTATTTTAGGCCATCACGAGCTTTTACCATTCACTATGACCATAATGAGATTTTAGAGAAGTCCATTTTTGACCATGCAACTATTAAAACTATTCATATTTATCAATCTAGTTGTTTTGACGTGTGATTTTGCTTATGTGAATGACACGTTTTTGTAGGGCCTACTCACCGGTCCTTCTTCTCCTCTCCACCTCTCTCTCTCTCTCTCCTCTTAGCTCCCTCTCCTACAACTCGAGCACACCTACGTGGCCATCCTCTTGAGAAGCTACATCACCATCAAGCTTTGTGTCCCCTATCTGCATCGTCCACCCATTTTTGTCCTCAATGCACTACGTAACACCATCGCCAACACGAGGCCTAAACTACACCACCATGCATCTTCAAATTTGATCACAACACTATTGTTTGCCATTTGTCATTTGACGTCAGTACAATACTAAAAAAATAGAATCAAAAGTTGAATATGGTAATGGTAAAAAATGGTCATAAACAATACCATCATTATGGTCAAGTGGCATGAGCTTCAGCAATTGATGGCCATAGCTACCTTTTTCTAGTAGCCTATGGTTTATTTCAGTTAGAGTTTGTTGACATCTGGAAATGACTTTTTGAGAAGCTTCAGACTGCCATAAGATCTCCCCTGGCATTGTGATATCCACATATGTAGGCAAGGGCATTATATTGATACTGTGTCGATGCCATACCCCCGGGTATCCCGGCTTCCATATTGCCGGCTACCGACTCCGAACCAGAGACGACCCGAAGGCTTACGACGACCCTATTCAAGGAAGGATATCTCCGGATTGCGCTAGACTCCGACTAGGGCATGACTTCTTAGCTTGTAGGGCAAGTTGATCCGGATATAAATCGCTAGCAATTCTCCCTGTTGTAATCATCCAATCTCTCATAGGCATAGCTACATTGTAAACATAATCTCACCAAATACAAGCAATACAAGAGTAGCAACTGGATGTACGGCTTTTACTCGCTTCTTGGGGGCCCAAATCAGTATAAATCTCGTCTCCATCTGTGATTGTTCTTCGCATCAACTAGGGTTCCCCAAGAACCAAATATCTGCCGATAAAAAACACCGACAGAGGTGCGCCAGGTAGGGGGATCTTGCGTGAAGACCGATCATGCCGATCATCAACAGGGTTTGGTACCCAGACTAGGCGCATTCCGACGCTGCTGTGGCACCATCCTCCGTCAAATCTGCGATTATGGTTAACTTTTACTCATACTCCCAGATCTATTCTCCATCCCGCGATGTGTCACCGACTATCCACTTTGGAAGTCTGGTATTCGAGCACCATGGAGACTTTGATATGAAGTTGACAGGGATCGACGATCTCGATCTAACCCACGCTGGCCGTGAAGTTTTCACCTCATTTGGTCAGATTCCCGAGGATATAGCCGACTCTGGTGCCCGTCTCGATCTTGACTACGACGCTCAGACAAAGAAATTGATCTTTATGAAAGCCGTAAGATCTACATGGCCACATGGGACAACTATCACACCTGATTTTATGGATAAAATGGGATGCATAATCTTATATGCGCCTAGAGATCAGTTACACACATAAGCCGACAAATTATAGATAGTATCATCACAAGTGTTCATTACATCACGAATAATAAGACATAGTATTCACATAAATACAGTGGAAGTATAAAGATAACTCTCTCGCGGAAGCTCCATAGCACAGGGACGTTAACTGGTTGACCACAAGTCTAGTAATCCACAGGAAAGTCGTCATTACCATTGCAATCTGTTACCCATCTGGGATTTTTATCCAAATAATGAAAATAAACAAGTGTAAGTACATATCATACTCAACAAGTGTAACATGGGGTTCATGAGGCTCAAAAGGCTTGACACAAGTTTAACGGCATTTAGCTTTTAGTTATCATAATTTTAGCATAAGAGTAGCAACAAGTTGTTTAAATCCCAAAGTAAAACACATGATCAATGTAAACATGAGTAATATATAGCAAAAACAATTACTTAATAGTGATCATCTATTCCATAAGGGTTCCAAGGCCGCTCGTGACCATGAGCACGACTGTTATAACAGTTTTATACTCTACAGAGGTTGTACACTTCCACTGTGAGTCGTGATACCCATATGCCTAGGTTTATAACTCCCAAAACACTTCCAAGATAAGCAGGCAGGGTACACTATGAAGCCTTTCAAAGGTTCGTTTAACAAGTCAGGGCCGCTAGATTTCCAATTGGCAAGCAGATACAGGAACCCCCTGTCGAATGGCACAATTCCATCACGGCTATACACATAAGAGGAGATGCTGTCCTATCCCCGTCTCAGCAAGCCCCTCTTGCACCATAAAGATAACCACTAATAAGTTAGAAAAGGTCATCATTCCTGACTAAAGCCAGAGCCATGTGGTCCTCACAGCTACACTGTAAGTCTCGGATGATCACTTACAGATAAGTCCTGAGGGAGAGGAATATGAAGCATTTAGAAAGTAGCTAAACACTCTAGCCCCCTTTTTCCAAGTTGCTAAAAAGTCGTGTTTTAATGTTTATTGCATATGCCATTAGTCAAGTTACAAGATCATGGTTTAATTGAGCACTAGCAAAGCTACCCAATGCATATCCCATAGGAGTCAAGGCATAAGTACAATTCTAGGAAATCCTTATCAAAGTGACAGATGCAAATATGGATTGATTATTAAAGTGAATAGGTAATAAGGATGATCCCATGCTATACTTGCCTTGATCAAAGTGTTCCTGTTGATCTTAGTTGTCAAAGTAGTATTCTTGATCACCCACGAATCGCTCACCGTCTATACTCGATCAACACAGCAACATACAAGCATCCAGAGGCAATCATGCATAGCATACAAAGGCTATCGATTAGAACAGTAAACCAACAACATAAAATCAAGATGAAAAGTTTGTAAAACGAATCTACATCTCGCTACGAACACACAGACGCAAAGATCACAAAAATTGGAGCTATAACGAAGAAGTT